AAAAAAAAAAAAAATGAAAAAAGAGAGAGAGACAGAGAGAGTGAGAGAAGGTGGAGGTATTGTGAATGAGTGAGACAGTTATTGTCATCAGAATTTACTGCCCAATCTGTTAGCCCGAATAAAAGCAGCAAGACCATTGCTGTCCCAGAGACCTTGCTTTGCAAGCCTGAGGAAAACAGTTCCACCAAACCTTGAAGAATCTGAATAGAACATGCTTTTGTCTCTGAGGAGCAAAGAACCTTTCTAGAATGGCAAAAACTTCACAGAAGCATGATTAGAAGAAAAGAAATCATTAGCCCAGTCAGGTCACAGAGTTAGGTCAGAACAACTTTAATACTATTGCCAATGTCCACATTCAGAGAAATACATCTGCCAGTCTGTCTGTGGCCCTGGGGAGCTCAACCAATTTCAGTCCCATATCCTGATCTAAGGCCAAATATTGCTTGGTGTGATTTTTTTTAATTGTGTGATAGAAAATAGTTTTTCTGTATCTTTTTTCTTCCTTTTAAATCCTATCCTCTATGGATTTAGTCTTTTTAAGGCACCTGCTGGGATTATTTTATACCACGGTGTCAAATCTAATCTACAGAATAAACTTCTTTTTAAAATAATTCACCTAGTTGGGTATTGGAATGCATTGCTGGCATTACAGGACCTTTTATGCACAAGCATGGAAAAGCTGGAACAATAGACCTTGTGAACATTCTCTAGAGGCCCCGAAGAGATGTAAACCAAAGAGAATACTTTGGACTAATTTCTGGAGACTAGGAGAGCATAAAGGGGGATTTCCCACAGGATGTGAATGTTGGGACTAAAATTAAAAGCTTTCTCCTTCCTACTGCCCCCCCCCACTCCCACCCCCAGACCTTTCTTTTCTCTGTTCTCTGGAGCTATGGCAAATATTTGAAAATGTGTTCCTTTTTTATAAATATTTCCTTTCTTGCTTTAGCGATGTTGGAAAGGACCACTTTCTAAAACAACTGTTAAGAAGGAACTGGCTATTTTTGACAT